ACCATTTCCTTCAAAACCTTCCAAAAATTCCTCCATTAAACCAAGCGCAACCCATATTCTTCTTCATTCATTTTCGTTCACCATTGAACCACCCAAAACTTCATCTTCTCCGACCTAGAAAATCATCATCCCGCGAAACCCATTTTTCCTCTTCCATCCAAAACTTCGACCATCTCTTCAAACCTCAACGAGGCCAACAAGCAGAATGAGAATCTGGGTCACGCGCAAGGATGAGGGCGAGGTAGAGCAGTTGTTGTTTCGTGAGAGAGAAAGAGTGGTAGCAGTTTGAGAGAGAATTTGATTTGAGTTTAGGGATTTGGAGAGGGGATTGTGTTTGGAAATCAAAAGAAAAAGTCTGCTGTTGTTGTTGGGCCATGAAGCCCATTTGGTTTGTGTGGATCATCGCGTCTTGGATACACCCCTCTGTTTTCTTTTAATTGTAAAATACTATTTTATATAATTTTTTTTATATAAATTTTGTATGAACAGATTGGTTGTATATATATATATATACTTAATTTTATATTATTTTCTAATTTCTAGTTTATAAATATCTTCTTAGAATTTTACTTCACATTTTTATATTAGAGTTTTTTAATGCTTTCTTAGAAGTTAGATTTTTGTTTCTATTTATTATTGGGCTTTTTATTCTATTTTCGTTTTGGTCTATGATGAGACTTCCGTAATTTATTACCAGTCAAATTATTGATGAATAATGTTGGATCTGAGGCCACCTTTTTTTCTCCTCATTTCTTCTTCTTTCGATTTTATTTTGACTTTCTTGGATCGATGAAGTCTTGTATCCATAAGCGTGGGATTATCGGAGTCGATAACCTTCCCGATTTCAAATCTATGGAAGATGACCATTTGGGTCATTTTCTTTACTTTGGGATCGCGATAGGCTATCTTTGATTAATCGACATTTTGTTTGCAATTAAGACGAGATCCCACTATTTTTGGTCCGTGCGACACGATTCAATTGGAGAATGATCCTCAATATCATTTCTCTATCTTGTCCTTAGCACGGATATCAACTACGCGACCTCCTATAGTTTGACTTCCCTTATAAGTCGAGCTACGAAGGTTTAGCGTCACATTAGACCCGATTCAATTCACCTTGACCCTTTCGAACTGTATTTCAGAACATCATCACCAAGGATCAAAGAGGAGATTAAAAGCTTGGAACTGGAGCTTGCACGCAATTTCAAGGGTCAACGGAACCACTTTGTTCGGTAACTTTCCCTAATTCAGACTTTATTTTCAATCCGTTAACCGTGATGAGTGTTGTGAGCTGTTAGCATTAGATATATAGGGAATGATGAGTGGGGAGCCTCTCCTTTCTTGTCTAGAGTGTTTAGCGTATGCCCTTTGGGCGATATACGATGCATTCTCTCCTACGTATTAGGATTTAGCGTGTGCGTCCCGAACCGATTCAATCCCTTCCCGTTTAGGCGTTCCAGGCCTAGGACCCCCTTTTTATTTCGCATCCGTGTGATCGAGACCTTTTTCTCTCGCACCCGTGCGATCGAGATTCCTTTGACTCGTAGTTATCCGAACTACGGCTGCTCTGATTTCTCATTCCCGTTGAGAATATGTAGGCATAGGATTACGATAATCCTAGCGAGCACTTTTCTTTCTTTCTCACCCTTTAGTCTCCCGTTCCTTTTAACCCAAAGACATGCTACGTCCGTTCTACCGCAAATAGGTAACGCCTAAGTTTCCAATGGTTGAGCAGTAATACACCTAACTGCTAGAATGCATACGCTAGTATCATCTACCCGAACCTTTTCTCTCGCCCCCGTGCGATCGGGAACACCCTGTTTACCCGTAGTTTCTGTAACTACATTTTGCTCTGATTTCTCATACCATATGAGAATACGTTGGCACAAGACGGCGATGTCTTGGCGAGCAACCTCCCCGTAGTTTCCCGAACTACGTTGACTCTGATTTTCCCATTGCACGAGGGAATACGTAGGCATAGGGCGGCGTTGTCCTATCGAGTCAGTTCTTTCTCCGTTTAGCAGCAGCCTTAGATAGTTTGTTTTTCACCCATAGATAGACAACAAGCGTGGATCCCGTTGAGTATAACGGATGTGAGGGGTGCTCATACCTTCCCCTTGCGTAATTGACTCCCGAACTCAAGATTTGGTTGCGATGACCTGTCTTTTCCCTTTTTTGTAGGTTTTCTCTGATCGTTTCCTTTCCCTCTCTTTGGGATAAATAACGAACGGTGGCAACTCTTCTGTCTTTGCCGGCCCCTTTTCGCAACGATGCGACAAAAGGTAACAAAAATTTCAACGAAACCCAAATGGTATGTTACCTCTTCGTTAAAGCCTTGTAATTATATACTCATGTAAAGGCAGTCATTTTTCTCTTTAAGCCAGACTTAGTGAATAATCCAACGAACATTATGTGATAAGAACTCCCTTCATCAATGAAATTTATTAAAATTTTAAAGTTGTTTGTGCTGGTTGTTATTATCAACATAAATATATCGTTGAGAATATCTCTGTGAATGTATGTGTTGTACAGGTTTAACTGCTAGTTGATTTTGATGATGACAATTGGTACAACTATTGACAACTGATGACAGATGTTAAACAGTTTTTAAATATGATGGTATCTGATCAAAAAGATACCTCAAGCCTCATTATCAGAGCAGAAGATCTTTTTTCATATGTGATCTATGTGCGTGTGTTGTTTATTTACCTATCTATTTGATAATGTCAAAGGGGGAAAGTATACTCTTAAGGGGAGTATAATATACTTTCTTTATCTGTGAGGTGGAGTTTAACCACTCCAAATCATTATTTATATTTTTGTAGTTTTTTCACCTTATTGAGAGATGTGTTATCATCATCAAAAGGGGGAGAAAGTGTGGACCTATGTATTGTGCATGTTTAACTGTAAGTCGATTTTGATGATGACAATTGTGATAGCTTGCGAAAATTGTCAAAAAGCTTTTAAATATGATAACTCCATAAGAATGGGGTATGACAACTGTCAAAATGGGATATTTGTTTCACTGTTCACAAACAAGAAATGCTTACCATAAGAATTACATCCCAGTCGCTCCTTCAACCACCACATCACCTCTTCCTCAAAAATCTCATACTTGAACATACGCTCTAAGATCCTAAAAACTCTTTGCATCTTATGATCATCCATGAGGTTTCTTATGGGAATAAGTTCATCCACATGTATTTCACCAAAGGTGAACCCAACACCAACCTACTTCATTTTTATCCTAGTAGGTGAAGGCTCACTATCTCTAAGATCAATTACTTTTTGTTTGGTTATGGAATTAAGAACACGTATTTTTAAGTCACTAAGGTTTTTAATGGGGATATTTATATTTGGGTTCCCTAGGTGTGACATACTCGAAGAAGATTGAATACTAAAGAAATGAACAAAGAAGGAAAAAGAAAACAGCTTAAGTAATGCAAGTGGTTGAGAACTTAAGTGAAGAACGCAAGAGAAGCTCCAACAAAAATCACAACAACAATTAAGTGAGTCACAAGAAAACTCTCTAATGGCACGTAAGAGATGAAAAAGCCGAAAAACGGAAATGAAACTCAAGTTCCCCTTTTAGAGACATGAAGAGCTCAAAGTTCAACGACCATTATTCGATAGAAGATCAAAGATCATATTCAATAGCACAGATGAAATCTTGAACCCATAACTCATTTAAGCGCATTTGAGTACACATATATGTGTCGCTTCACTACCCTATGTGTGTGGATTCAAGTGGATGTCTCCTCTGAATCAACATTTTGTCTGCACATGAGCATTAAATGTGCATGTCTCAATGCCAACTACCCCAACTCAACGCAATAATTGAGATCTTTCTTCTTGAAACATCTTCTCAATGAACAAGCTACATCTTCGACACATATTCTCAAACCGGTCTCATTGACGTCTACTTCAACACTCCTCACTTCAAAGCTCGTAGCAAATACTTAGGGGAGATTGTTCTGGGATATCCAAAGGCTCATTAAGACCGGCCCAACTCATAGATCTAATCCAGCAAAGAGCGCTTCTTTTCTTGACGCACAAGTGGATCTTCACCTATAGACGCGTCATATGAGAACAATCTCCTTCTCCATCTTGACCGTCAATCACATCCAACAACTACCTCACTCCATGTCGGTTAACCTGAGAATGGTTCTAAATGTCTCCTCTACATAAGCATGATTTGGAGTCACGCCCAGATATTCTTTTACACACGTTGACAAAATCCTGCCTCATACAAACAATGACTTGAGCGTTAGAATGTTAACTTTTTATATATATACTCTCTCTATTTATTAAAAAATATCATAAGCTTTCTCGCGCTCTCTCTCTTTATTAAAAAATATCATAAGTCTTATCGCTCTGGTTATCTTAAACATACAGACTACAAAATAAATATAAATTCAATCTACTAATTTATCCACTTTTAGTTATCACTTAAATTTTTGGTTATTAGCTATAAATTTATCTACTATGAACTAACTTATTGGTTATATTCTTCTTCTTTTTCTCTCTTTTTTACATAATAGAATCTATACATCATGTGATAATTAGTTTCAATTTAGACATGTATTATAATGCACCTCTTTTCAATTATAATAACAGTCCAGTGCAGCCTTTCCGCATGGAAAACAAAAGGTCATTTTAGTTAGCGTGACAAATCAAACATATCAGTTAACAAGAGGGAAGGGACCCCATTGTAATTTTATGTTCTAAGCAACCATGATGAGTCATCTAGATCCATTGACCACATCATTACAAGAATCATTCATCCTTATGGCTTTCCCAATCTACTTATATTATTGCTTCCCTTTTCACATACATGCTAGGTACTCAATGCTAAACCACATTAATTAAGGCCTATAAATTTTGATGACACGCACAAAAAGCAATGAATCTCATTTCTGAAATCATCAACAAAGTTTAGACTTTGAAATCATCAACAAGGGTGATCATCATCTTCAGTTCGAGTGATGCGATAAACCTTAATGGCAAAGAGGAAGAGCTGGTTTGGATGGGTGAAAAGCCTATTCATTTCTGAGTCTAAGGGAAAAGTAAGAGATATATATTACATTGTTGTGATCATCTTACAATTAGTACTACAAAACTTATTTTGGTAGCTAATTCTTGTTTAATATCCAGAACCAAAAGAAATGGGGATGGAGATTAGGAAGGATTAAACAGAAGCAGTACCCTACAATTACAGCTTCGAAAAGGACATTGATTGAAGCAAATGCAGAACAGAGAAAGCATGCTTTAGCTGTGGCTATTGCAACAGCATCTGCTGCAGAGGCTGCAATTGCTGCTGCACATGCTGCTGCTGAGGTTGTCAAGCTCACAGGTGGTGCCTCTCGTTCCTATTCATATCTCTCCAAGGGAGACAGAAGTTTGGCTGCCGTCAAGATTCAAAGCGTTTATCGTGCACATCTCGTGAGTTTCCTTGAACTCGATTCTTCTTTTGCACTATTCGTCATGGTTTTAAATAGCGGTCGAATGTGCCGTCATCCAGACGGATGAACTTTATAGGAAAGGAAAAGTATGACTAGCAATAAGTGCTGCAAATAAACTATGCTTTTGCTTTTATTTTAGTGAAGATTGGTTTTTAAAATATCAATATTTTCAACTAAATATCGGTGTTGTGAGCTTCTGTTTTGATCAATTTGATTCTCTATTTTCTAAAGTATACATAAAATGAAACTATAATTGATTGACCAAGTTATCAAGTACTTTTAAATTTACTAATGTTAAAATTTGGTAATGAAACAGGCTAGGAAAGCATTAAGAGCATTGAAGGGAGTTATAAGACTACAGGCCATAATTCGCGGCCAAGCTGTTAGGCGTCAAGTGATCAGATCTTTGAAGAATGTTCCCTCAAATGCAAAAATTCAGAAGGAAAACCAGGACAGAAGCAGCCGTACTGAAGAAGAAACCTACAAAAATGGTCTGATAAAACAGTTTCCAAAGGAAAAGAAAAAGATAGAAGAGAATGACCTCAAGGTAAATTTATTTAAATTGACTTATTTGAATTTATCTCACCGTATAAATAATGGTGAGCTTGTTTGAGAGAGCCGTTTGACTTAAATGTATCTTTTGTTATAGAGAGAGTTTATACATAAACAATTATATGATAAGCATTTATGCTATAAGCGCTTAACTAAATTGTTTATTTGAAAAGGCAAGTGTGCATTGAATATGAGCTACCATGTGTCTAATTCACTCAAGAATTTTTGCAGGCTGAATGCTATAGTCAAAGAACATGGAATTGTAGCTCACACTCAAGAGAAGACATTGAAGCTATATGGTTAAGAAAGCAAGAGGCTATTGTCAAAAGAGACCGCATGAGACAATACTCTTCACAAAAGGTAACCTAGTTTTGAACTTTCCTGTTTTTAAATGTCATGCACTAGATAATAACCGTGTGATTTATATTTTTTCAGGAGAGAACATTTTCTCAAAAGGTGGAAGAATTTGGAGGAGATAGCTGCCGTACTTTAGGAGAGTGGTTACATAAAGAAATAAGTGATTGGGATGTTCTTTATAAACCATCTCATCTTTCAAATATCACACTAAAAAATGAAGTGCAAGAAGAATTGAGTTCAAAAATTTCAGTCCAAAGAAAATCATTTTCTCATGTAAAAAGAAGTTCAATTGGAGATGAGAGTTCCATGCCAAATTTTCCTGTTTTTCCTAAATACATGTCTTTGACTGAATCTAGCAAAGCAAAAGTAAGGTCTATGAGCACACCAAGGCTAAGAGCAGGATTTTTGGATATGTGTTCCTATCAGAATGAGCACCAATGCATGAATTTCTGAAGTCGTCTCAAAGTTCATTTCATGCTTGGTCCTTCACATGCATATATATATATATATATATATATATATATATATATATATATATATATATATATATATATATATATATATATATATATATATATATATATATATATATATATATATATATATATATATATATATATATATATATATATATATATATATATATATATATATATATATATATATATATATATCAAGTGTTTTATGTCAGAGTCTAACCATTTTGTTTTTCTTTTTTCTTGGTTTTGGCGAGGAGAAATGTTACTATTGAGTCCATAATACATGTCTAAAATGTGTATACATCTTGTTTTTATCTAATTTGTTTATTTGAGTTTGTTGTTGTCGAAGATTTCATTTTGACAATATGCTAAAACAATTATGATTGTATTGAAGAAATTTGGTTGGAATTTCACTCCAAATGATTCATATCCAATATGCTAAAACAATTACTTTACTTTGAAAATCTTAAAGAACCAATGATGTTTTCTTTCAAGAAGCCATAAAGTTTAAAACAATTTTAATGACCTCTGAATACCTTATCCACAAAATATGAACATTGAAAAGAAGAAAACAATCTGCTCAAAAAAACATGATTAACAAATAAGGGAATTTCTTTTCACCGAGTGAAAAAATATTTTTGAAAAACTGAAAATATTTTTTGAATTTCGGAGATATATTTTCGGACACACCTTGTTAAAGTCAAAACGTTAATTAATTCAAATATGCATCTCTGAAATATTTCTTATCACTGGATCCATTTTATACGTTTGTTGTTCCGGAGATGTATCTCTATTTAAGATTTACGAAAATGAATCTTTGTACCCAATCAGTACAGTGTAAGTTATGTTTTGTTTATGGTTATTCAGATAAAAATGATGATTTATAAATAAATTTTAAAGACATTGTTATGTGATTGAGTATTAAACCATACAATTCAAATGGTCAAAAAATGACATATATAAATTCAAATGGTCAAAAAATGACATATATAAATTAAGTCGAAATATACGATAAAGTAAAATGAAGTGAAAATAAAATACAATCCATAATGAATCCAAAGTACAACTACTATATACTACTGTGTATGTCAGATTATAGATCCTGGATGCGTATGCCGGACTGCAGCTCCTTAGGCTCCTCGACCTCCTCAACCCCCGTCCTCTGACACTGTCTTCGGTACATAAGTGTCTCTCGTGCCTCCGTCATAATGGCATCTAGGACTTGTCTCACCTCATACCCATAAGGAAAGATACCTTAGTCAATGTCTGTTTGTGCAATCTCCATTATGTGACGACATCTAAGCAAGACATCATGAATATGATCTAATTGTGTTTGCTCCTCCTCTAGTATCTCCTGATGAGTTGGCCTCGACAGATGTGACATCCTGAATAACCATCTGATGTACCCGTCGACATAACTTCAGTCACTCTTAGTTATGGTACTTCGTGCCTTCTCTGATACCAGTTGACTAAGATAATCATCAAACATTGCATTCATATCTCTCTGTGTCATAGCAGGAGGAGTAGAGACAGCATGGTGTCTGATAATAGGCTGAGTGTGGCCGAACTATTGCATTACGCGCTCAGGCGGATGAGGAAATGTGAGACGTGAGCCGTAAGTCAACCATCCTGAGTATAACACTATGTTGTCAAATGATCACGTCTTACGGTGATCAACATAACTACTGTTAAAGTGCATATCCTCGAAAACCAAGCGATCAAGATACATTCTGAACAACTCTATCGCCTGATTTTCTCTAAACAGAATAAATGCAGAAGCACGCAACATATCCTCAGTATAAATCAGTACACACAATCAGGCAAAAATGCGCGAAAAGTGCTGGAGGAATCAATACCGTTCGAAAATACATTTTCAAAATAATTTTGAAGTTATATCTTCGCGTTTTTTAAAGTTAAGTCTAAATTTTATTTATTCAAAATGCATCTTCAAAAACTAAAACATTTTTGTATTTTCCTATTGTGTCTTATTAATACATATTTGCATTTAGAAATTCCCACAAATAAAGTGTTTCTCTTGAATACAATTATACAATTCTAATTTCTTGTTATTGCATTTTGCATCCTTGCATAATAAAACTCAAAATTAGATAAAAAAAATCCAATATTAAAGTTATGCAGTTTATTTCCATTATCCTTTCAGCCAAATTAGCCTAATCAGTTTTGTTAAAGATTGTTGGATCATGCTAGATGTCAGTGTTTTAAAATCTTAAGTCATGACTAACTTGGTTATAACATTAAATCACTGGTTAAATTGTTGAAAAGGTAAATATTAAAAATGGTTTTAAAAAGCTTTATTTTTAATCATAGGTAATAAATAATTATAAATATAAAATTTTATTCTTTAAATTTAAATGTCAATAATATTAATATATCATAAATTTTCTTTTAAAAGGATGTAAATTAATAAATAAAAAACAGATAAATATTAGGGAAGGTATATCTATATATTCAAAGATTAAAGTATTTATTAAAATTTGGGTGTGATCCATTTGATCCTCACCAGTGTATTTTCTGAACATTTTATCAACCCGTACATTTAAAAATGATGAGCAAACCGACCAATTTAATCCAATTTTCACCAATCTGACCGGTTTGATACCAATTTAATTACATACACGGTACAAGAGCATGATAATAAGCCAAACGAGGAAATTCATGGTAAATGTATTATACATAATGGTAATTAAAAATACTAAATATCTAGATTGACAGTTAAAACAATAGGAGTTATCAGAAAAACAATCTTCAAGTAAGGTTACAAACCATGAATTTGTATGCAATATAAATACCAAAAAAACAATTTGATGCATTGAGGAAATTTAACAGTTTTTCTCCTTAGCCTACCTACACAGTCTAACGAGCTACTTGAGCTTGTGCGTGTTCCAGAATCTGCGTGACTAACTTGTAAGTACGACCATTAAGGGCCTTGGTATGGTCTATCAGCTGCTCATACCTGTACATGAAGCATTTCAAATATTAATGGTCATAGAAAAGAAACAAATAAGACTATAAAAGCCCTTATATATCAAGTCTGTAATCAATGTCAACTTACACATTCGGATGATTAGGTTCCATGATAACCGTTCCAGTTTCAGAGTCAATTTTAGCATCAAGCTTTGAGCCACGGATGAGATTCACAATCCATCTCTCAGCCTCCTCATAATTCAAATTTAGCTTCTCAGCAAGAACTCTGTTTTAAAGAAATATCAGCAATTGAGCAACCCTATAATTAAAATTGTAGTTTCAACTTGCAACTTTAAAATCCCAGTATATAATAGTTGTGTTGCATGTAAAAGCAGACCAGAGGGATTCATCATCGAAGTAAATATCACAGACACAATAAAGCATCATAAGGCACAACTCCTATTTTGTGCATTTAATTTTGATAGGACTATCAAAAGATCAATGGCACAGAAGTTGAAGGTGTTTTAGGTTAAAAAGTAAATAAAAAAACTAAAAAAATAGAGGCTTTTCTAAAAAAGTTGTACCCAACGGAAACTACAGTATTTGAATCAGATACTAGGCACATACCCCATGTCAATGCGTTGGTGTATTCTACAGTATGTCTCAAAAATAAACAGCCTAGCATTTTCAAGGAACTCGTCCCTTAGTGGTACCGTTGAGAAGTTGCTTTCTTCAATTCGTTTACCAAGGAAGGGATCATTGAGAATTACCTGCATTTTCACAAATGGTAAACATATTATAATCAACACAGACGTATAGCAAGTACTTAACTAGTACATAAATACTAAAATAAAAGAAAAAAACAAAAAAACTGAGGGAACATTTACATCACATCAATAGCTGACATTTTTTAGCTATAGACAACAGAAAGCGAACTTACTTCTTCACACTCCCTCATCTTCTTTTGTGCACCATCAAAGTCATAATTGACATAAACACAAGCCAGAAACTCAGTGATGGGGTCCTTGTATGAATTCTGCTCTTGTTGAATAACTTTTATAAAATCTTTGAATTGAGGCCTCCGGCGCTTGTTGACGATAAATGCTGTGGCCAAGTATCGCAAAAGGTGTGGAGCACTTGTTTGGATTGCGTTAAGATACCTACAAATGATATCACATATATTAGACAAAGCAACATTTAAAACACTAAAGTCATCCCAGAGTCAGAGTGAAGAAGCCATTGACAAAGTATTATGCAGATTAACAACAAAAACAAAATATGTGAAATAGGTGTGTTCTGATTAGAAACAAATGAAGGAATCCAGAACAGGGAAATATAAGTCAAAAGTGCATACTTGTCCTGGTTAAACAGATCAATTATTTGTGTTCTTCCATTATCATGGTTGAAAAAGATGAACAGACTCCAATGCATCAACCATATTCTGCTTTGCACCTGATTAATAGGTGATGAAAAATGCTGCAAAAAAGTTCAGCAATGGTAATTCTAAATTAATAACAGCAATACAAGCAAGAAAGCGGTGCTACTCAATGGATGAAATGATGAACAACCTTTGAGTCAATTATTTCCTTCAAGCGGTTGAGCTCTTCAAGAGCAACATCCCAGTTTTGCATCAATACTTCAGCTGCCAGCTTTCCCCACAATGCATTCAAACTCCTTTCACTATTTGTGCATAATGCTCTGTACTGATAAAGATAGTCAGCAGCACCAGAGTAGTTTCCACATTCAAACTGAAATTTGGCATATTGGTATAATGCCTCTATTTGTGCAGCACCAATCTGTTAAAACAGAATCATCCATTACGAAGTCAGAATTCAGATACAACAAAAATCCATATTACAAAAGAAAAAAGTGTGCTTGAAAAAACACAAGTCTGAAAAACAATGGAAGGAGATTATATTACTATGATTCTATGTATTTTAGTTAAAAGTGGCGTTATACTAGAAAGTAGAAACAAAGCAGTTAAATCGCCTAAAGTCTAAGTCAATAACATAACAGCTTTAGATCCTTACTCGCAAGAGACAATAATAG